ATGTGATACCAACTCTCCTAGACGGATGAACGAGCGAGACTCAGCATTATTTCTCGCACGGCACGGTAACTGACAATCTCGAAGTCTGTGGGTTCTCGGAACTTAGCCGCGAAAGATTAATTCACGCGAGTCGAACGGGTTCCTAGACCGAACGCAAAGTTTCTACGCACGATTTCCAAACCCAAGACTGAATCAAGAACAAGACAGGTCTTTGCCACAGGGGCTTTTACTGGCCAAAGCTAAGGCGATTCTAGCCTTGTACAGCCTCATTTTTATATCACGAAACGGTGATGAAGGGGGGGGGTTCCTTGGAAGGGTTTGCGTAAGCAAACCCTGGAAACAAGAAACATGGTTTTATGTAAATGTGCAAAATCCGTAAACTGAGCAGAAATGTTGGAAGTTTGGCGAGAGTTGTCCGGAAAAATGAATGTTGCTTGGATACAACAATGCGTGTTTGGATGGAAACAAGACTGTTTCTGGGTGCAAAGGCTAAACAAAGTGCATGTTACACGAGTTGGAAGGCTGATTGAACGTGTGCGTTTTTTCTGCTCTGAGTACATGTGCACTTGAGTGAATCGGGTTTTCAGCCTTCTGCAAATTAAGCCTTTCATAATTATAAAGACGTTGGGTCCCCATAACAGTAACCTGTTGAAAAGCTCAGTTACAGAAGGTAAAATGAGGGCCGATATGGACTTTAGAATTCGTGGGGGGATTCCTTCTGTTATCATACCGGTCAACATTATCAATGGCATTAATTTAAGATGCAGAGTGATCTGGTAAATTTCCATAACGGCAACTATCAACTTGGGAAAGTTTTTTAAAGCTAAATTCCGACTCTTGACTGAAAGCAACCGCTGACATTTGCCATCCTTATCATGTATTAAGAAGCCTGAAACCCGCTTTTAATATTTGCGACGATAGAGTTGTTTTAAAAACCACTACTTCAGCAATGCTCTCAATTTCTCTGTATCTAGTTATAACGGAGGTCACCACAACTAACGGGATGGGTACAACGCCAATCAAGACTACCACTGGTGGTTCAATGAAACCCACCGATGGAGGTGAGCGTTATTTGTTTCCATAATTTTGTAAACCATCAAACGATAAACTGTATAGGAAAATTACGTCGTCAGCAAAAATCACCTTCTGCAATCGTGGAATCAATTTGCATCAACCAGACGGCGGAAGACGAGGACAACTTTTGCTGGGAAATTGCATCTAAACGTTCGTTATTAAAAATGGTGTCCTGTGTTTCACTACACAACATTTTCTAGTCGGCCTTCATAGCCAGTTGGTCACTAAATATTTTACTTACCAACATCATCTACCTACGTGCTTTGACTTCTTACTCCCAAGGTTTTATTGGATTACTTGTAACGGAGCATGATGATGCCAGATTGAGTGAAGCTACTTAGAATAACTATCAGTTTCTTACTTGGGATTCTTGTCAAACAACGACTGTATTATTACCCTTTGAAAATAATCCCATGGACATTCGCTCCTTGCCAGTTTGTAGCCATTGCAATTGAAGATGCCATTTAAACTTCATAATCTGAATCTGCATTTCATCAACAAATATTGTTTACTGATTATAGATTACTTTTTAAAGGAAGCGATTAAGTCGTGCCATTTGTAGCTGCATCATGATCCACACCGATACAACTGCCCGTTAATTTTTGTACTGCTCAATACCTTTTACGTCATCGATGTGTTTTTCAAAGAACTTCTTAAGTTCCACATTGACTTTGCCTCAACTAGTTGCTGCAGCAATTCCTTCCCTGCATTCAGCAATCTGCATTTGAAGCAAGTTTATAAAGCGACCAGTTTCAAATCCTGTACGACAATATTATACATGTGTCCTCATGTGCTGCTTGGTGTGCGCAGATGAAGCAGTGTTCTCATCATAAGGTAATCACCCAGATGTAATTCCCGGTGCGTCATGATGAGGTCAAACCTCAGTCGGCGATAAGCTAGGTTGTACAGCCATAGTTTCTTACACCGGTCTTCGTAGGGCACACCACGTAACTTGGGCATCAGCCTTGTGGCTACATGCTGCATTCGCTCAAGCTTTCTACCTCTCCCCTGGTGATAGGACAATACGCGGGACAGCCATAATCTACTATTGGTCGTATTAATGAGACGAAGAAGCGAGTGGCGATCTTATCGGACCAAGTGCTGAAGCTGCGCCTGAGCACCCAATGCATAAGAAGGCTGTTTTGATAAAGCCTATTAGTGTTGTCCATGGACTTTAGGTCGTATTTTGAGAGTACAACAAGGTCGCGCACGAAAGGCACGGGATGTGATGGTTGACCAGCCACCGTGTTGGTTCGACAGTGTTCACACTTACCCAGCCGCATGAGTTGCGACTTGACCGGGTTGGTCGGAAGGTTGACTTCTGCAGGTCACGTGCAGAGGCGGTCGAGGTCCTGCTGAAGCCAATCACAGTCGTTTGGTGTGCGGATTACTCTCCACAACTTCATGTCATCTGCGAACAACGCACAAGGTGATTGGAGTATCTGAGGCACATCGTTTACATGGATCAGAAACAAAACCGGCCCCAGTACCGTGACTTAGGGGCACGCCGCTGCTCGCTGGATTCCAGTCGGTTCAACGGTTGTCCACCTGGATCCTCCACTTTCGATCATAAAGGAACTTCCAGATTCATTGGTACAGCAGACCGCCAACACCACACATACGTGGCCTATCGAGGAGCACTGTATGATTTACCTTGTCAAAAGCATTACTGAAGTCAATGTAAATGACGTCGACTGATTTGCCTTTGTTCAGTGCTTGTAACCATTCGTGCTTCAGTAGTTTAGTGATGTACGAGCCACCGTTCACAAAGCCATGCTGAGCGGACGCCTAGAGACTTTCAGACTCGATAAGCTGCAGAAGGCTCTTCTTCACGGACTTCTCAAGCGTCTTTGCCAAAACAGCGGTAAGGCAGATCGGCCGGTAGTTATCCACTTTGCTTGGGTTACAACATTTCGGTATGGGATTTACGACTGAGCATTTTCCAGTCGCTCGGTAATAGTCCAGTGGATAGTAACTGTTGAATACTGCCTCTTGAATACGTCAGATTCTAACAATGTGATACCAACTCTCCTAGACGGATGAACGAGCGAGACTCAGCATTATTTCTCGCACGGCACGGTAACTGACACTCTCGAAGTCTGTTTGTTCTCGGAACTTAGCCGCGAAAGATTAATTCACGCGAGTCGAACGGGTTCCTAGACCGAACGCAAAGTTTCTACGCACGATTTCCAAACCCAAGACTGAATCAAGAACAAGACAGGTCTTTGCCACAGGGGCTTTTACTGGCCAAAGCTAAGGCGATTCTAGCCTTGTACAGCCTCATTTTTATATCAGGAAACGGTGATGAAGGGGGGGGGGTTCCTTGGAAGGGTTTGCGTAAGCAAACCCTGGAAACAAGAAACATGGTTTTATGTAAATGTGCAAAATCCGTAAACTGAGCAGAAATGTTGGAAGTTTGGCGAGAGTTGTCCGGAAAAATGAATGTTGCTTGGATACAACAATGCGCGTTTGGATGGAAACAAGACTGTTTCTGGGTGCGAAGGCTAAACAAAGTGCATGTTACACGAGTTGGAAGGCTGATTGAACGTGTGCGTTTTTTCTGCTCTGAGTACATGTGCACTTGAGTGAATCGGGTTTTCAGCCTTCTGCAAATTAAGCCTTTCATAATTATAAAGACGTTGGGTCCCCATAACAGTAACCTGTTGAAAAGCTCAGTTACAGAAGGTAAAATGAGGGCCGATATGGACTTTAGAATTCGTGGGGGGATTCCTTCTGTTATCATACCGGTCAACATTATCAATGGCATTAATTTAAGATGCAGAGTGATCTGGTAAATTTCCATAACGGCAACTATCAACTTGGGAAAGTTTTTTAAAGCTAAATTCCGACTCTTGACTGAAAGCAACCGCTGACATTTGCCATCCTTATCATGTATTAAGAAGCCTGTCGTGGAATCTTCTCCTAGAATCTGTCGTCTCTGCGCCGATATTAAAATATATAAAGGTGGTTAGATGACGCACTCACCCACTTACACTTGATCACTTAACACTGGGTCTCCATCCTACGCCTAAATTTTACCGTGAAATTATCTGATGTTAGCTTGGCTGCTATGAATTTAAGTGGATTAAAGGACTACAGAGGAGCAACCGCTAAGTCCTTAATTTCCTATTTGATTAACTACTGGTTTTACTATAATTTTTATCAACCGACTCTCCAACTGACTTTGAAAGCAACGCTTCCTAACCCGTATAAATTCAGTGTTCCTTGTTCATTCGACAATAATTAAAAACTGTCCAAATTTCATCGGCATATTTTCGGTAATAAGCGACAAGTTTTTACCATGTTCAGCATTTATCTCGCTGTAACTTTATACTCCCACATGACTTGAATTATTGCGTTCTTACAATGATGCTTGTACGCTTATATTTATTCTCCTTACAAAGGAGCCTTTTGCAGTTTTCTTTTGCTATGTTTTACATAGCCATTCTCTATGACTATCAGCAGTTTAGTCATTATTCATATGCTTTTGTGTATTTTCTCTCGTTATTTCAAATTAGTCTACATATGCATAGTGTGGTTGTAATTATATTGACCTTTGCGAGTTCTTTTGATGATAGCGCCTCCCTGTGGTGAATTGACGGATAGATCAATTAGACAGTTCACTTGCTTGCGTCATGCAGTGTGACTGATTTTTGAGGTAAGTTGCTTGGAGCAAGCCGTGTAGATATCGAGACAGTTGGTGCCATATTTCGATAAGACAGCAGAAATTGCAGACGGGTTGTTTCGATAGCACAAATGACCTAATAAGGCTTATTAGAAAATTACTGTGTATCGCACGGTATGTTTTAAGAAAAGCATGAATTATACTTGATACTGCGCTGCAAACTCGAACATACTTGTTTTACGTGTGTAGCTATCGCTACTCCGGTCGCAACAATGATTATATCGCCTCTCTTGTGTTTTAGCTACAAAAGCCGTGATCAAATTCCCTATCACCTTTCTCATTGTTATCATCATTTGTGAGTTGTTAGTTCCTTTTGATTAAACAAGATGAACCATTGAATGTAATTCGAGAGATAGTGGTTTGCTTTCCGCGTTTCCTGCCGCTCAGTTCCGTATCAAATTAATATTGCATGTGCAAGTATGTTAGCTTCCCTGAAAGACAAATAAACGGCTTCTTTTTCTTTTTCTCGCTTTTGATAAGACAGGACATGTGTAATAAACAGAAGGAGGAATAAAAGGGTAGTATAGAAACCCGGTTCTGAATTCGCTACCAGGCTTCCGAGTTTTGTGATTTCCGCCAGAATACCCATCGAGGCTAATGTGTGTTGGAAGGTATTGGTGTCGCAGAACAACTAGACAGGGAGCAATCCTGATGTTGTAAGCCCCGTTTAGTTAAAGCATATTGGAGCAATAGGAGTGAATATTTTTAAAGTCTCAGAAAACCAGCCGGTGGTTGATGACTTATATCTTTATTTAACAACACAAGAATGATGAAGTTAAATTTTTACTTTTTTAATGTTAATCCGTGTTAGGACTTTATATGTTTATAATCGACTATTGCTTATCTAAGCGCCATCGGCGGTAATTTTGCGCTCTTCAGTACTCAAGCATAAGCTTTTAAAAACGGCAAATCACAAAATAGTTCGTTACGATTTCTAGTTGATAACTAAACATTTAGCTGCATTTTCAAAAGTTAAGTAGAGTATGTCCGACGAAATGAAATGAAAGCTATGCTTATTTGCAACCGGAAATCTAGGTGCTTTGATTTCTACTCCATTCTGTCCGGCAGCAGGCGCCGTATCAAACCGTTAATACGAATCCGGTACTTAGACGAGAGATTTGGCATCATTAATCTGGATTCCAGGCAAAATACACATTATCTAATTAACAGCAAGTTAGAAGACATCAACTATGCCAATAAAGTGGTGAACTCCGAAATACTATCCTTAAAGTTACTGGTTTACAGGAATAATGATGGTAAATTCCAACTTGCGTACATCGGAAGAACGCACACACAGACCACAAAAACTATTCATCAAAATGCAAAAATTGCGATATTCAATACTTTTGAAAACGATCCGAAAAACTGCATCGTGTCGGAATTAAGTAAGAAGGTAGAAAAGCATATATCCCTGGTATTTCAAATCCGCTTGGATCTATTGTGATTTAATGAGCCCTGATATGAATAGTGTTATAATAACCTAGATAAATCGACATGGTCCCTTAAATTAAGAACGCCTTTGGGCTAAGGATCTGATTGCTACGGGCACATATAATCTTAAAATCATATAAACTTTATGCTAAATGAAGGGGAGTACTTCCACCACCGAAAGACAAAGTCAAAAACGCCAGTCAATCATTTCCTATAGAAGGTAGACTGCAAAGCATAAGACAAAATCTTCATCGGTCAAACGACAACGATTTTAATACGGATAGCCCAACACAACATAGACATAGAGTGAGACCCACATTTACTGTTCTCCATACAAGAAGCTCAAGTAGGTCATTAATTCACCTCAGCGAACGCGAAGAGTCTAGCAGGTGGAAATTCGAGGCGAGCTAGCAAATTCTTGAAAACCTAACATTCAACAGCTACTTCTGTCAAATGACGCATTGAATTAGATACATGTTACACAGAACTACCAATGAAAATAATCAAATTAATCAACAAAATTCAAACGGAACAAAACGCTAGACTTGCGATTTGGACGACGATGTCAACGGCGGGTGCAAGCGCGTCAACCTCAAAAGGAAGCATTTTAGGTTGTCATCTGACCATTTAATTTAGCATGTCTTACTGACGGCTGTTCTACCAAGTAGATCGATCACCCGCACACGCACTCACTAATGCTTTGCACCATGCCGCTCCGCTACATACTAGCGCACTGTTGATGTCAATCGAGTGCTGGATAAACGCTTTCGGTCACAAAATTGAAAACCTGGTTGTCCTGCCACGTTCAAACACCCATGCCTTTGGTTAGTTTTCACAACTCGCAACTGTTAGGATTTATTGGACTAAGAATGTCTTTGCTTCTGCTTGGTTGATTCGACAGTAAGTACATATGCATGTCGCCGTATACTGAAAACCTTGTTCATTAAAATGATTTTGTCTATAAAATCGTGTTGTTACAAGTTCGCTACTCTACTTCTTCGGATACAACAAACTGGTATCGCGGGCCGCAGTTTCGCTATATACTTCTGCTCCTGCTCGGTTCGGCATCGTTTCCGCAACTACCCCAAATGCAGATTCTTTACAAGGTTGGAAAGGCATGTTTACGCACTTTTATTTTGTATTTCCATTTTCTAATCCATCTGTAACGATGAAAACAGAGAAGGCTAAAATTTTTGTGATAGCACATGAGATCTAAATGTCACCGAATCTCAGACTTCCAGCGATGCCTACCTGAAATAACGACTTAGCAATGCTGGATAAGCATTGGTGAGTTATCATGAACTCATACACATTCAGCGAACAGTTTTTGCATTGAACCTATACAATTCTGAAAACTTGGATACTTCCATCTCTTGCCTCGTACGTTTTGTTACCAATTGCAAATATGACAACGTACTAAAAAGTGACTAAGAAAATATGCAGTCATAAAACTATTATCCGTACCGTCGGATTATCCTATCCGTAAAAGACTATTAATTGTGGATACGAATAAAGTTTAATGGGATAGGGCTTGCAATATATCCCGCGCGGTGTTTGCAGTCAATGAACAAACGTTTGTACATTCTAAAGCTGTCGCCCCCGAAATTAAGTGACTAGATTCATCACTTTCTCTAAAGATATGCGCAGATAAAACGGAGGTTTCTTTTGTGGAAATAATGAACACAATGCAAACAGTAGATCGTGGTCTGCAAATAAATTGATTTGTTGAATCTGCGGTAAATCGGGTTATTTTTCCCGACCTTATCGCTCTCTTACTATTTCGCGCCTGGAATTGTCCACAGCTGCTACTACGGCTGCTATGGTCACCGGTGAAGATGTTGCATTTAGAGTTAGATAAATTTGGGTATCGACTCCTTTGTGTTCTCATGAATTAACAATATTCTCATCTGACATTCGATTTGTGTTCCATTAAACACGAAGAATACCATTCGTTTAGATATGGAGCCTAATTCAGCGTCACCTTATATGATGGCGCTATATGTTTTACAGACAACATTTTGCCTATTTTTCGTGCGCCCTTCCATTTACATATTTATCAGCGATTAAATTGTCGTTGTATAAAGATTAAAATAGCATTGTGAGCGAAGTATTAATAGAACCGATACAGCGTTCGAATATATTAAAGCACTTATTGCAATTGAAAAGAAGGATGGATCTATACGAGTATATACCGAATACATATAAATATCAAGCATGGTATTTTCCATAGACTCCCAGTTGTTTTATCAATTTGTTGATGCTTAAAATTTCAAGTGTTTTGCTTTCCTTAAAACCTGCTCTTTAAGGCCATATTTACACATGCACCTGACTCCAGACTGTGGACACTTGGCAGGTTTCCTCGTAGAAGTTTGCTTATACCTGTACAAGTTTTTTCTTGTGCCTCATCAGTGCGATAGCCGTGTGGTAGACTTTCATTGCTCTCTTATTATCTGACGTCAAAGAATGTGTTATACAAACGCACGAGATTTCTGTGTTTGATTTTGTTCCGTTAGAACAAGAAGAATCATAAGAACGTATTTCAAAGGCTGAGTGAACTAAAACTTCGCCTGAAGGCAGAAATCGAAAGTTCACTTTCATGGAATTGGTGCTTGTTGAGCATATCATTTCCACTTATGGTATAATAATTATTGAAGAAAATTAGAACAATGCTTCAATATACAAAACCGTTCATTGACCCAGAAATGCAACATAATTTAGGTCTGTGTAACTATTAACTGAACATAGAGAATTGTGGTAGACTCTGCGGAGGCTTCGACTCCAACTGGGCGTTGCGGTGGTTGACTGATACAGAAAATTCTTATCTGAACACATAGGCTATTGTTATGTTCATCATTGCTGCGATCCTTCGTGAACAAAGTACGACAATTTTTCCAAATGAAGCTTTGAATGTTCAGCTAGGATCATTTATGTCTTAGTGTTATAGCAGTGAAGATAATGTAATAGCAAATGTCTTGTGAAATCTGTCGACTGGGCAAAGAAATTACTCTGCTGCCGAAACAAAGGAAATTTGCATGTACCTAAGCCTGTGAGAAATGGTATTTCTACGAAGCTGGGCATCGATATCACTGGAGCACCAAGCAAACTACAAATACAATCATAAAGGACCGCGGAAACAAGAGGCAAAAATCGGTGCGAATAACCCTTTAATAATCACGTCTACAAAACAAGGACTACGGAAATATATATAGTCCAGGATGTTGGAACACTTTTGCGCACTCACTTGCGGGGCCAAGGTGTAAAAAAGAAGAGGCAACTCAAGAATTCGAAGGGATAAAGTTAATAACACAACCCTCAAATGGAGCGCCCTCGGGCATACCACTTGACCGGATAAGAGTGAACACGAAATATGATAGAGTGCTGGTAAAAATTCGTCAAAACTTGGCAACACTTAGGCAAACTGCATGAAAAGCAACCGGAGTAACTTACATTTCATACATTCTGGAAAGACTTGAGTTCTGTAAACAATTTTATTGTGAGCCGTGAACAGTTTCTTATACATGGAACACTTACGTCTGCAGTGCTTCAACCCGCCCATGGAGGCAAACCAGGCATGGTTCGAACAAAATCCCTGGTATGCCAGTACTACTAGTGGCCGAAGTTGAATACCAGCATTCAAGCCATGATTCGGGAATGCTAAACCCGCCAGCAATCCGCTAAATCTGTAATGCCGGTGGACCCTCAAAAGCAGCCTGTCAAGTACTCAATGAAGCCATAGTAGAAGATTGCGATTGATATCATGGGCGCATTCACCAAGGACCTTCAGCCAAAAAGTAATGTGCCAGCTCCTACGTAATTATAAAGCAAATGGTCTGAGGCTGCTTTGTGTGAGGATGTCAATACACC